TGACAAGCGTCCCTTCATTTGGTAGTTGGCAGACTCACAAAGCCCTTCCTCAGAACAGGCCTTGCAACTGTGGTGGACCCCTCTGTACCCTGGTGGAGGCTCCTGGTCTGCCCAGTGGCCCTGGAGTTGCCCTCCAGCCAGACCAAAGAAACAGGTGTGCAGGATGCCAGGGACTGGACAGGGACTTCCCAACCTCCCCACCCCCTCCTGGGGCCCATCAGCCCCCCTCTGTGTCTGCTGTCAGGACTCAGTATCAATCAAAGAGCTTTCGGAAATTTTTTTCTTATGTCCTAGAAGAAAAGCTGTTATGAAACACTCTCTCCCCAGCACCAGTACCTGCCACAGCAAATTTCTCTCCCAGACATGTCCGCTGCTGCCCAAATGTCGACATTCTGGTGATCAGAATATACGTTCCAGTTTGAATTACTTTCTTACACAACATGGCCTTCCTAGGCTGCGTTGCTACATGTGTGTGCATTATTCATTACCAAATGCCAGTGGGTGGCAGAGAAGCTATGCCGTGCAGCACTCCTGACAGCAATAGGGGTGCTTCCTACTCGCTGCAGACATCGGGTACACCCTTTCACACCCCCTCACCACAACCCTGCGCCCTGGGGATTATAATCCTCATTTTACAGTCGAGGAAACGGAGGCTCAGTCCAAAGTCATCCATTCAGCAAGTATTCTGAGTGTCTACAAATGTCAGGGCCTAGCCCCGGCCAGTTTCGCTCAGTGTTTGGAGCGTTGGCCTGCGGACCAGAGAGTCCTGGGTTCAGTTCCTGCTAGAGCCATATAAAGAAAAAAAAAAAGTCAGGGCTTGCTGGGCACTGTGGTAGAGAATAAGATAAACACAGTCCTCAGTCTCCTGGGATTCCAGTCTGGTGGGGAGGAGACAGACAATACATGATAAACAAATAAAGGAGGATGAGGGGAGAGGGAGAGGGCGGTGGGGTGGGCAGTGTTGATATTCTAGATTGGAGACAGGCCTGGCTGTTTTCCTGAATGTCCAGTTGTGAATGAATGAAGGGAGGGCTGCACAGTACATGTGACAAGCTCAGGGGCTATTTGGCAGGGCTGATAAGTTCAGTGACCGAATGTCACACACAGGATGGTCTGATGACAAATTCCTAACTGGGCAGGTCATGGCGGGTAGTCATGTCCGGACCTATAGCTTCCTTTAGCAAAGGTTAATCTTTACTCTAAGTGAGCTCTCCATTGTTCTCAGGCATCTAGGATAACACACCTCTGATTTGTCAGAGTGATTTTCCTTTCCAGTCCCCTCAGGGAACACCTGCCCGCAGCGGGCACAGGCCACCGGGCACAGGCCAGGGAGCTCCTCCTCGTTATCCCGTGGCCGCACACCACCCATGCGCTGTCGGTGTTCAATGTTACCTGTCTGTACCCACCGATGGAAGAGAAGTGTTTACCTTTGTCCAAGCCTAGGGATTTCCTTGCTTTGCTTTCTCCCAGCCCCAACCTACCGCCAGTGGATTTCCTATAACCCTCCTTACATTTTACTTGATTCTAATGTGTAAAATGAGCTGCGAAACTGCCATTCTCTGGAGTGTTTTCTCAATCCATTGAGATCTGGCTTCGGGCATGTCCTCAAAAATGTGTCTTAAATAAAATTTTTGTTTATTGATTGATTTTTATTAAAAAAATTTTTTTCTTGCCCTGGCCGGTTTGGTTCAGCGGTTAGAGTGTCGGCCTGCGGTCCTGAGAGACCCGGGTTCGGTTCCCGCTAAGGGCACGTACCTCGGTTGCAGTTTGTCCCCGGCCCTGGTTGGTTGTGCGGGTGGCAGCCACTCGATGTGTTCCTTTCACGTCGATGTTTCTCTCTCTCTCTGTTCCTCTCTCTCCCTCCCACTCTACCTGAACAAAAATAAAAATGGAAAAATGTCCTCGGGTGAGGATAAAAAAAAAAAAAAATTAAAATTTTTTTTTCTTTATTGATTTTAGAGAGGAAGGGAGAGATAGATACATTGATGAGAGAGAAAATAGGCTGGCCGCCTCCTGCATGTCCCCCACTGGGAATCTGGCCCACAACCTGGGCAGTGTCCTGACCGGGAAGCGAACTGGCGACCTCTTGGTGCATGGGTCGATGCTGAACCACTGAGCCACACCAGCTGGGCTTGATTGATTTTTAGAGAGAGAGGAAGGGAGAGAGAGAGAGAGAAACATCAATTTTATTATTCCACTTATTTATGCATTCATTGGGTTATTCTTGTATGTGCCCCGACTGGGGATCAAACCAGCAACCTTGGCTTAGTGGGGTGATACTCTAACAAACTGACCTACTTGGCCAGGGCAAATTATTAGTTTTCTGTCGGTTTGGATGTTCTTTCGTGGGCACAGTGCTAGTAAGCCCTATGGATGGCACTCAAGAAATGTGTGGAGCCCTGGCCAGTTTGGTTCAGCGGTTAGAGTGTTGGCCTGCGGTCCAGAGAGACCCGGGTTCAGTTGCTGCTAAGGGCACATACCTAGGTTGCAGTTTGTCCCCAGGCCTTGGCTGGGTCGTGCGGGCGGCAACCACTAGATGTATCCCTTTCAAGTCGATGTTTCTCTCTCTTCCTCTCACTGTATCTGAATAAAAAACAAAAAAAAAATGTCCTTGGGTGAGGATAAAAAAAAAAAAAAGAAATGGGTGGAAAATGAATCTTCCCTACCAAGTTCAACCTGGCCACATTTAACTTCTATCTGATACACCAACATGTGGGCCCAGCATTTAGGTAATTTCCAGCTTTCTCAATTTGAAATAGTGTGGAATGGCAGTTTTCTGCATGGGGCTTTATGCTTCCGATGACTTCTTTTCTTGGGAGATAGTCCTGGGAACGGGGTTGCTAGCTTGAGAGTCCTAAGCATATTTATCGCGGTGTTTCTTCTTTTGGAAAAACAGTGTTTGTCTGGCACTTTTCCTGAGACCTTCTGTGTTCCAGGCCTTGCCCTCATTATACATCCACACGAGGATTCAGAGGAAAACGGCAGGAGGCTCCTGACTGCCCGTAAATGCCTTCTCAGCTTTCAAAGCCCTCCCCAAACACCCCCTGGGGAAGCTCCCCCCACTTCCACAGGCAGAATTAGTCTTTTTTTCATGCAAAACCTATTATTTTAGCATTACTATATGCCAAGCATCCTCAGCCTCAGCCTTGGAGGTTTTGCCCCAGACCTTGGGGCGGGCCCTGTCTCTCTCTGGTTGACGGTAGGGGAGGGAAGTTTTGCATCCCTTTGAAAGCAATGCTCTTCACACTGAGGAACCTGGACACCTGCCTTGCCAGGCCCTTAGCCTAGGATTTTGGCCAAAGCACTCAGCCTCCGAGTCTCCAAACCTATTAAGTGGAATGGAAGCAATAACAGATAAAACTTTCCCAACATCTTTAATGAGGTAACCTCTTACTCCCACAGGGAACTGTAGTCCCATAAAGGCGCCTGTGGGTTCTAACAGCCCAAACCAGCAGACACTAGAACAAGTTATTTCAAAAGAGTGAAGCCCAACCCTAACTTGGAGTGTCTCTTTCCTCCTGCCCAGATTTCTAGCATTCCTGAGATGGTCAGGCTGGTACCAGGGTACAGTGAAAGGGGAAGGCAATGGACAGGCCCCACCCCCCTGAAGGCTGGTATTTTTAGACAAAATCCTTGGCTACCTTATCTAAATGGCCAGACTGGAGACCTTGATTTCTCAGCTTTTCAAACATCCAACGGGGCTCCCACCTCACCTCCCTCCCAAATGCTGGGGCTGTTCCTAGCTTCTCTAAGGCAACATCCAGGTGTCCACCTCCACAGCTATCTAGCCAAAAGCCCCCTCTTCATTATAATCTTTTGTTCCGTGAGACCATTTTGCTTGTACCAAGTTCAGTCAAGTACACGCTATCCAAAAAGAGGTTTTTGCTGGAGCAGACTGGGAAATTCCTATGAAGAAGCCATTTCCTGTGTGCCAGGCGCTGAATTTCCTAGGCAGCCAGGGAAACATCTTGTCCCAGCTCATATCCCGTAAAACAGAATCTGTAATATTTGTATTTCTCTGTACCCCACTTCACTTCCAGAAAGGACTGGGGCGGTGAGGTCGAAGAGGAGGGACACGGGGCGGTGTGTGACAAACGAGGGCAGGGGCCTTCGTTCCCCACCACGGGCAAAGGTGTGTTAGTCAGGGTCACGCGGCTGCCTCCTGCGCAGGGGAGGGCGGGGCGGGGTCCACAAAGCCAGCAGCCCCGTGGCACTCACCTTTGGCCAGTGTTCCAGGCGCGGAGACCGCCCCGCGGTGGGGTGCCGCCCCGCCCGCCCCGAGCATCTAGGCCCCGGCATCCTCAGCACCACGGGTAGGGAAGCAGGCTGCGGGAGGCCTCGGAGGGCTGCGCTGGCCGCGCGGCCTGGAACCAGTCCCCTCTCCCCCCTGTAGGGCCTCGGTTTCCGAGCAGGGGACAATCAGCGCTCCAGTTTGGAAGGGGCGTGGCCACGCCTCGCAAAGCGCTGAGCCGACTCCGGGAAACGTTTTAAAAAATACACCCACGGAGCCGCAGACCGAGGTGCCTGTTCCCAAGGTCACGCGGAAAGAGGAGCCAGCCTCCCGGCATCAGCTTCATGCCTGCCCCGCGCCAGGCCCCGACCTCTAATGTCCTGGGGTTCTGCGGGGGGTCCACGGAAAATTTCGGCCCCCAAAGCCAAGCCCGGAGTCCGAACCCCAGGCTCAGGGGTCACCCCCACCCCCCATCCCCTACCCCAGCCCGGCCCTCCCCCGGGGTGCCCCAGGGCCTTGCCCACTTCTCTCCAACACCAAGAACCTCGCCGCGGGCTCGACGCCCCGCCCCAGCCCCGCCCCAGCCCCGCCCCCGCGGCTGTAGCGCCCCCAGGCGGGGGCGGCGCCGCAGCCAATGGGAAGGCGGCGTGTCAAGGGCGGTGGCGGTTGTGACGCGCCGGGCCGGCGGCCGGCGGCCAATCAGCGGGGAGCTCGAGGGCGGGCAGTGACGCGGGCGGCGCTCCTCGTGCGGCGGCGGCGGTATAGGAGCGAGCGCTGCGGCGAGAGCGGCCAACAGAACGCCGCCGCCGCCACACGCCGCCCGCGGTCTCCACTCCGCCGCCGCCGCCGCCTACCGGTGCCCACCCGGCGCTCCCTCAACCGCCGCCGCCGCCCCCGCCCCCGGGCCGGCCCTTCTGCGAGCCGGCGAGCGGCCTCTGCGCCGGGCCAGACCCGGAGCGGCGCCTTCTCGCGCCTCGGCCGCCCGCGCGTCCTCGGCCGCCCGCCTGGCATGAAAACCAAGTTCTGCACTGGGGGCGAGGCGGAGCCCTCGCCGCTCGGGCTGCTGCTGAGCTGCGGCAGCGGCAGCGCAGCCCCGGCCCCCGGAGTGGGGCAGCAGCGCGACGCCGCCAGCGACCTCGAGCCCAAGCATCTGGGCGGCCGGCAGCCGCCGCTGGCGCTGCCCCCGCCGCCGCCGCCGCCGCTGCCGTTGCCGCCGCCGCCGCCGCCGCCGCCGGCCGCCGAGCAGCCCGAGCCCCGGACGCGGCGCAGGGCCTATCTGTGGTGCAAGGAGTTCCTGCCCGGCGCCTGGCGGGGCCTTCGCGAGGACCAGTTTCACATCAGTGTCATCAGGTCGGTGGCTGGCGGGCGGGGGCTGGACGTGGCCGGCCGCTCGCGGGTCAGGTGACGCTGGCCGGGCGGGGGCGCGGGGCTGGGAGAAGCCACCTTTCGAAGGCTTGTGAAATCCAAGCCAGATCCCGCGAAACAGGCCCCAAGGCCGCCCAAGACCTTCCAAGAGACAGGCCTTTGAACCCCCCTCCCCCCCAAAGAAAGCCCCCCTCCAATAATAAAAATTCGGTTTCGTCGGAAAACAGGTCTCTTCTAAGGAGAACAATGCCGTTCGATCACAAAGTACGTTTTGTCCAGAAGCTTAAAATATGTCTAGGAAGTTCCTTTGCGGTTTAGGGTCTCAAATGAAGGAGGGACGGTCTGGCCGGCCTTAAATCGGTCACCTGGAAACTTGCACTTCTACCCCTCGAGCCTACGGTTGCCCCCCCCGCCCCCCCCCCCCTTGAAAGAGTCATTTGTTAGTGGCCAACGGGGTAACGTTTGCTCGTTCCCCACTAACCCTGTTCAAACCTGTTAGGTGTGTTACTAACCAAAGTTAGGAGGTGTGGCTCCAAAGATAACCAGGGGTAAAGTAGAAAGCATTTTTTTTTTATTTGCCCTTTATTTTAAGGTTAAAAGTTTTTCATCACCCATTTAACCCTAAATGTGTGTGTACATATTCACACTTAACAGGAAAACATAAAGACCCCCTTGATTTTTGTCTCCCCTCTGTCCCCAGGAGATAACCTTTTAACATTTCCTGTGCCGCCTCCTGTTTGGACCTTTAAAACCGGGTTGTCTCTGTCTGCGAATTTCCTTGTACGTGGCTGACCAGGTTGAGGGCAGTATCTAGCAACTGGCTGGCTGTCCCCGATACTCCCCAAATTCACTTTTAGTCATTTGATTCCTTTTCTGTGCCCAGCCTTTCACCAGAGCTGCAAATGCAGCAGAATGAACTGAGCTTCACTTCCTTTTGGCACCCCTGGCCCCTTGCAGATACGCTCCCCAGCAGTAAGGGGAAAGGCGAGGAAAGAGAGCCCAAGGTGTGTAGATAATCCCTGAATTGTGTTCATTTCGCTTTCCGCCTGTTCATTGCTGGTATGTAGGAAAGCAGTTGACTTTTACATAGTAAACCTCGTATCCTATAACCTTGCTGTAATTGCTTGTTAGTTCCAGGAGTGTTCCACCCCCGCTCCCTTTTTAATTTTTTTTCCAGTCTGGTCCCTTGGTTTGTCCAGCTCTGACACTGATGCCCATGTTCTCCTCCACGGCTGGCAGGGAACCTTGTACTGCCCTAGGACAGGCCTGGTCTGTAGCTTTCCTTGAATCTGTTTTGTAATCTCTGTATCTTTCATAACGTACTTACACATTTCACTGTGCCTGGTACTCCTTTTGTGGAGTATCATAGTAGCCTGGGGTTGATGATGAAACAGTTAAAAAAGCATAAAGGCCTGGGAGGTCTGTGTGGGCTAGAAGGGACGTGGAGCACTTTGTGGAGAAAATGGGAGCATCCCTGAAGTCAGAAAGGTGAAGGACCTTTCAGGTGGGAAGAGTAGGCAGAAAAGCATGCTGTGTTCCAAGGATGCCAATGATAGTGGCTCGAAATAGGTATTTTAGGAACACTTTCTGAGAGATGTTTGGTAATGTCTGGACACATTTTTGGTTGTCAGGATTTGGTGGTGGTGGTGGTGCTACTGGCATCTAGTGGGCAGAGTGCAGGGAAACTGCTATACATTCTCCAGTGCACAGGACAGCCCCTCCTCTTCCCCTGACAACGAATGATTGGACCCCAAATGTCACATCGCGGAGGTTGAACAACCCTGGAGTGGAGGACTGAAGATTGAGCTTTCCTCTTTCATCCACCTGGCCATACTCTTAAAGGTTAGCCTTTGCTTTTTGATTGGCCTAGTGATGTTCAGCTGACATTCTCTCCTGTAATCATCACATAAACCCTGTTAGATACATTATATTAGGGTGAGAAAACAGGCTTAGAGGCACTAAGTAACTTGCTCAAGGCCATGCAGCTGTCTGCAGAGCCAGCAAAGGCTTTTAACTAAACCTCTAGGCTTGGGGTTAAGGCACCTGTTCCTGATCACTACATATGGATGCTGTCATTTTACTGAAGTATTTTTTATTTCACCTGCGCTCTTGTTGTTTCAAGTTGAGTTGTAGACGATTAGAAGAAATTTTCCAAATATCCTTTTTAGTTTTTCTTTCATTTGCGCTCTAAATTCAGTAGCTTTTTTGGTATCGTGCTGCCGTCTCTTTTCTATGTAGCCAGTCCTTTGGACTTGAGGATTGTTTTTCTGTTGAGACACTGTTTGTGTTGTAAATTTTGTTTTCTTTCTCTAGTCATTTTGACTTTTAGATGATGCTTTTGGGAGCCTTCGTCCTGTGTGTGCTGGATTTAGTGCCTGTTACTTGTGGACAGTTTGCAGTGGTTTCAGTGCCTTTTTTGTTTTTCAGGAAAATATAGTTGGCTAGGTGCAGACCAGATAATTTAGCAGATGAAAATCTTTGTCTTAAAGGGTTCTCTGGAGCAGGTGGCTTCTTGGGTTAATCATTTAGCATTGAGGTGACTCACCTAGATATGAATTCTTTCCCAAATGATTAAAAATATGTAGATGTGCCCTGGCCAGTTTGGCTCAGCAGTTAGAGTGCCAGCCCACGCACCGAAGGGTCTCCGGTTTGATTCCTGGTCAAGGGCACCTACCTGGGTTGTAGGTTCCATCCCTGGCCTTGGGGAGGGTTGTGTGGGAGGCAACCAATCCATGCGAATCTCTTACATCTGTGTCTCTCCCTCCCTGCCACTCTATCTAAAAATCAATGGAAAAATATCCTCGGGGTGAGGATTAACTATATATATATATATATATATATATATATATATATATAATGTGTGTGTGTGTGTATATATATATGTATATGGTTTTGATGGATGAATGGATAAGCACGTGTGATATTTACATACAGTGGAATATTATTCAGCCTTAAAAAAGGATATTCTGAGAACTGCTACAGCATAGATGAACCTTGAGGATATTATGCTAAGTATAATGAACCAGGCACAAAGGACAAATATTGTATTGACTTCTGTGAGGTCCCTAGAGTAGTCAGATTCATGGAAACAAAGTAGACTAGTGATTGCCAAGGGCTGAGGGAGGGGAGCACGGGAAGTTAGTGTTTAGTTTTACATGATAAAAAAGTGTTATGGAGATGGATGGTGGTGATAGTTGCACAAAAATGTGAATATACTTAACTGTACACTTAAAAGTGGTTAAGATGAGCCCGGCCAGTGTGGCTCAGTGGTTGAGCATCAACCCATGCACCAAGAGGTCCCTGGTTCGATTTCCAGTCAGAGCACATGCCCAGGTTGTGGGCCAAGTCCCCAGTCCAGGGGCATGCAGGAGGCAGCCAGTCGATGTTCTCTCACATCGATGTTTCTTATCTCTCTCTCTCCCTCTCCCTTCCTCTCTCTAAAATCAATAAAGAAAAAAAATTTTTTTAATTGGAAAAAATATAGAGATGTATTTTAAGACCATGGACTCTCCACTGTTGTATCACTGTAGCATGGATATTTCTTGCTGAGAATGCTGTAGAATAAAACAAATTACATAACCTCTGTAAGACCTGCTGAGTCTACAAATGAAGGGTGGTGCAGGCCATTCGTAAAGCTATTTAAATACATGCTACTAAAATAAAAAGATTTTAGCAATAAACCACTATGTGGAAAAGTGAGCTGACTCCAGAACTTGAAAAATGATTCTCTGTGAGAGAGTTGCCAACATGGAAGCCTCTCCTGGAGGTAGAGACCTGCTGCACCCGCTCAGGGGTGCTCCTGTGCATTTCCCGTGTGACTTGTAGTTAGAACTTGTTCTTCAGCAAAACTACCAACTGCCTCCTATCACAAACTGAGCACTGGAAGCCTAGGATGTGACATTCACAAGTGCACAAGCGCTCAAGATCTGTCCTGTGTGTGCCAGCTCCCTGCTGCTGGGGGGAGTGGGTCACGTGATACAGCTGGACTAAATTACATCTACTAGACTATTCCGCTTTTCCTGGGGCCGAGCAGGTTTGGATGACATCGACTCGGATTTGACTTCCTTTTACACATGGAGTATATGTACAATCGACGTGAACTTTTCAGGGCAACCAAAGTCATAGTTTTCATAGCCCACACCCCATGGTAGTATCAAGTGCTTCTGGAAAGGCGGGTGACTAGCTGGAGGGGTTTGTGAAGTGGCCTTTGTTTGCTCTGTAGGGGCTATGAAACCAAAAGGACATCTTGCCCAATGGCACTGTGGTTGTGAGGAAGGATGAGTTTCAGGACCACGCTGTTCCATCCCGAAGGACTGAACATTAGGAAGAGGGGAGGTGGCAGGAGCGTTTTGTTTTGTTTTGTTTTCCAGCCACAGCCACCATCTTTTTGCTTCCTCACATTACACTTGGTTTCTCTTGTAATGTTTCCAGGGGGAGCACTCCTGCCACCTCTGGCTCCCAGGTGAAATACAGCGAGCTCCTGGGTCTCTGAAGTGAAGGGTATTCCTTGTTCGTCTCCGTGGGAAAATGCCTGTTTCCACTGTCATTAGGTTTGGGTATTAATTGTACTGTATGCTGAATGTTAGAATGATCTGTTTGACTTGTAGTGACCTAGTAGGAAATTAAGAGGAACTTGATTAATTTTTAACCTTGATTATTTGGGGGTTTTATGGGTTTGCCCTGGGTGTAGGTGACGTGTAAATTCCCCACTGAGGTTTTAATAAGATAGTTGCTGGGATAGTGGACTTCTGTTGGAAAGGGCTGTGCTGCAGGCTCTGGACAGTGTAGTTAATGTCGAGAAAGACAAATAGGGGAAGAAAACAGTCATGTTTGCTAGATCCAGAACTTTCTCTGAAGTTGAAGGATGGAAAAGTCACCAAGAAACAAATTTGTTCATTTATTTATTTATTTATTTATTTATTTATATTTTGTTCAGATAGAGTGGGAGGGAGAGAGAGGAACAGAGAGAGAGAGAGAAACATCGA